AAAATAATTTGCGAATTTTCGTGGTTTTCGTGGTTTTTACATAACATGTTGTCAAAATTCAAACTTTGAATGTTTATAAAAAAAAATTGTGACTATATATTTCTTTTATTTTTCAACTGCTATTGTGAAAATATGTTAGGAGTCCTGGATTAAATTTTCAAATTTTAGACATAAAAGGAAAATGTTTATATTTTATAAATATATTTATGCTATATGTTTCACTAGCCAAAAACCTCGAAAATGTTATACAAAATTCCTCTTAGGTTATTAAAATAGCAATTTAAAAATATTAAAGGTGTATTGCGCGTTTTTTTTTCATAAGTATTTGAAGTTCAAATTTTTACAAAATTAATCAACATAACGAAAATGTTCAGTTGTTTTGTAATGCAAAAATTATAAGCTATTCAATTTTTATAGCTATAAGCATTGATTTTATTCAAAACAAAGTTTCATAAGTAATTAATATGAAAAAATTATTTTGACTTTTTAAGTTCAAATTAGATGAAATTAGATATTTAAACGGTGACTAACCATGTTAGTTATTTTATTGTAGTTCATAAATATTTTTTTCGATTTTCTAGGAATCAAAATTTGGAAACAATTCTAGTTTAGCAAACTATTGACTTTTTTTATATGTTTTTGCATGCTTTGTTGCTTTGTAATTTTTAAAGAATGAATTAGGTTAAATAGATAACAGGGACAAAAGAAATGTGAATTGGTGAAAAATCTAATTTATAAAGTTGAAAACCGTGCGCATGGTATTCATTTACGCCGATGGGTCAGATGCTCAGGGATCAGATGATTCTTGAGCGGAAGATATAGGTACGATTAACGGGGAAACTGTGCTTTTTGAAATTTTTTACCGATGACTTCAAAACGAATATTGTCCAATATTTTTTTTTACATTCCTACAAAGCATCCAAAAACATACGTTTAAAAAAATTTTAAAAAATCCATAGGTTGTCAAATTATAGAATATAATATGTATTAAGCCTGCAATTATTGTTTGATGTTTGATTTAATTTTAAGATGCAAGTGAAATGTTTGTGTGAAGACACTGAGCCGTGTGATGAAAAAGTTTGAATATATCTGGGATTAGACTATGGTACGGATGACTCGGTCACTCGGAGCAGCCGATTGTGAAACAATAATTGTAATTAATAATTCATACGAATAGGTACTTGAAATTATTGCAGCAATAAGTGACCATTACCGCTGTAGCAGTTGGCGTAAGAACACTAAAAATATGGGTAATAAAATGTTCTCAATATGAGAAAACTAAAATTTAGGGTGACATGCAAATTAAAAATAATAACACGAATAAAAATTAGTAGTCTATTAAAATTTAAGATATTATGTTCTGTTATGTTTAGGTAGGTTTCAGATCCCCTCCCCCCCAAAAAAAAAAAAAATTCTGGTCCAAGTATACCTCTAAATGTAATATTGGTAAAAAAGGTAACACGGAATAAAATTGTAATAGTTAAATTTGTTATTATTATTAATAAATTACTTTCAACAAACTAATTTTGTTTTAGTAACTTTAAAACTCAAAATACACATCAGCTAAGTCTTCGCAACATCAGATGTTCGCGTTTAATGATTTTGGTAATTTAAAATAAAAATGACCGTAATATAGGCACATACAATGTTCAGTGAATGTTTATAAAAACACTTTTTATAAACAAAAAATTTGCCGCTAATACGCTAATACTACGCCATACTGTATATAGATATAGGAACATTGCAAACAATCGAAAATAGTGTTCGATACTTTTTTGACTCTGCTCATCAGCTGCTGCTATAGTTGCCACGTTATTATTATTATATATATATTATTATCACGCACCATACGATTGGAAGATATAAACTGTTTATTTTATAACAATCAAAAATGATGTGATGTGATTGAGTTTTGTTACATTCCAGAATAGCTGTTTAACAGTTATATCTGTTGGTGGTGGTCATCGCAGACGGAATGGGAGAAATATTGCAAATTCAAGTAGGTCGTTGTGGCAATCGGATCGGAGACAACGTACGTGCGACTCATAAAATGTATTTTTTCTCGAAATAATATTTTTACATTTTCCATATACCTGCTATTACGATAGTTTTTATATAGGTTATAGACATAGAGTAGGTAGGAATATAGGCCAACCTAAAGATTAGACAGTCTAGACCAGAGCAGCTGGTCGCTAATTAATATTTTTAATGAGCTAACTACATCATTAGAAATCTAGAAATTGTTTGCGGGCCATACAATTTGTAGAAGTCGATAACAACCAACGAACAAAATTAGTAATTGGGTACAACTCAATAATCCATTATGCGTCTATGCAATCTTTAACAGATTTAACGCGACTCGCACTAAGGTTAAATTGTACATTCTAAAATCTAAAGTTCAAGAAAAACATTTTTGTCATTCATGAACTTTTCCTACAATGGCATCCTTTCCTAACAAAGTATCCAGTCTCATTTTATTATTATTATTTTTTTTTAAATATTCTTCACTAAATTCAGTTGTATTATTAACATTAAAAATGTGAGCATTAAGCACTAATGCACTATAATAAATTATTGAATAGTTTTTACAGTCAAGCCAACCACTCTATTTCAGGGGGCGCCCAATCTTTTGTTGAAAACTAGGCCACATACTTTTTTTTTAATAATAATACATTCAATTTTTTTTCTTTATTAATAATATCCACACAATCTTCAGAATCTGTACACAATCAGCACAAATCCACAATATAAAAATATGCGAGGTAATTGACGAAAGGAAAATTGAAAATTTTGAATGAAGAAGCCACCCACCGATGACACTTTCGTTTCTTAATTATTTTATTTTATACAATTCTTGATTTTATTTTTTATTTGTTATTTCGATTGAGGGTTTAGTAGGTCTCTGCACCATTTTCGCTTAGGACGACGCGATTTGTTTTTGTTAGCTTATCTTACCAATTTTATAACAGATGATGATATGATTTTAGACAAGTTTGCCAATAGTGGACGAGCCAGACGTTATATATTTTTGTTTTACAGTATAACTATAAATTAACTACGTTTATTATACATTTTGACCAGTCCCTCCCGAAATGAAATTTTTGATACGCGCCTGTGTTGACACATTTTGCAATATTATGGGCTTGGTATAGGTATATGTACGATGCGTAGGTACTACAATGAAACTTACTAATGAAGTGATGAGTGTGTACTTTCGTAAAATTACTAAATTTTTATAATAGCTTCTCAGATTAAATTTATTAATTTGTAAACCACTGGAAAAAATAGGTTAAATTTGTTTTTACCTAGAACTTGTGTTGTCCTTGATAAGTAGGTACTTAGAATGATAAGGAGCTATTTATCATAGTAGGTATCCACCATATAAAAATAAATCTTACAGATACACTGCTGCTTATATATATGCCTATATAGGCTATATATATATAGTAGTTTGCGATTCGATAATTTCGATTTATACCTACTAAAATGTATCGTGTAAGTCGTAAATAACAGCTCAGCTCRAGACGAATTGTTGTTTTTTTTATCGACTGGTTGATGGTTGGCGTTAAATATATTAACTGTTTTATTAATATTATAATATTGTATATACAGTAAGTTATGACAATGTCATAATCTTTTATAGTTTTGGAAAACCATATCAAACGAACATGGACTTGACGAGCAAGGAAAATTTGTCGGTTATTCCAGCGATGAGCAGTTGGAGCGCATACATGTGTACTACGATGAATCCAAAGGTAAAAGTATTGTAAATATACACTTATATTCGGTTATATGAAGTTAAAATATGTGAATACTATTAGAGCCAATATCTATATCAATAATAAGAATTGTTTACCATTCTTGAGTTTTCAAAAAACTTCGCTTCAAATTTTACGTGATATAATGCAATCTCTATATGACGTAAATCAGCAATGGATCCACTCTATATAGATTTATACAAGATTAAAAGTTTAATAAAGTCTCAATATTAGGTGCCAAATTTTCCTATATCTGAAAAACGGTTTTCTAATAATCAAGTCATGGCAACCATTAATTTATAATATGTACATTTATTTACCGGACACTGACTTTGCAGTATAATTATCAATTGAACGGTGCAGGTGGAGTGTACGTACCTCGCGCGGTGCTCGTGGACTGGGATTCGACGTTGTTAAACACGATTGGCGGGCGACACTGTGACGGTAACGCGTACAGAAAGGAAAACTTTGTGGGCGGCCATGGCGGAACCGGAAGCAACTGGGCAAAGGGCTATTACGGCGGTGGTGAGATGTCCACACGCGTAGCGGAAGCTGTCCGGTCGGAAGTCGAACGGTGCGACCGGCTCCAAGGGTTCCAGCTGGTGCACTCATTGGGCGGCGGCACTGGTTCCGGTCTGGGCGGGCGCGTGCTGAACAACGTCCGCGTGTCGTACCCAAACCGGGCGACTCACACGTACAGCGTGGCGCCGTGGACGGCCGTGTCGGACGAGCCCGCCGAGTCGTACAACGCGTTGCTGTCCGCGGCCAGGCTGGTCGGTGGCGCGCACGCGACGTATCTAGCAGACAACCGGGCGCTGTTCGACGCGTGCTGCGCCGGTACCTCCGGCGCCGCGGCCCCGGCGTACGCCGATCTCAACCACCTGGTGTCGCAGATCATGTCTGGCGTGACGACCGGGCTCCGGTTCGCCGGCCGGCTGAACGCCGACATGAAAAAGTGCACCGCCAACCTAGTGCCGTATCCGAGACTGCACTTTTTCGTGCCGGGATTCGCGCCCATCACGTTCCGCGGGCAAACGGACGCGTGCGCATACACGGTCCCCGAGCTGGCCACGCAGCTGTTCAGGGCGGTGAGACTGCAGCGGCGTTGCACCGGTGCGGCCGTCGTAATGGCCGCCGTCATGACGTTTCGGAGCAGAAGTGTAGTGAACGACCCTCGCGGTGACCACGTACCACTGCAGCCGGCCACGGGACCGATTACAACGGCCCCAAAACGTCGTTGGCTACCGGACAACCTTAAGACCGCCAGTTACGGKGTACCGTCTCACGGGCTCAAGAACAGCGGTACGGTGGTGGCCAACACGACGGCGGTGCGGGACGTGTTCGAACGGTTCTGCCGGCGGTCCGCGTCCATGTTGGCCAAGCGGGAGCTGTTGCACCTGTACGTGGAAGAGGGCATGGGCTCTGACGAATTCCGAGTGGCACTCGAACAGATCGAATCGCTTACGGCGGAATACTTGACGATCGAGCGGGACAACTGCAGTAACGGCGACGATGACGACGGCGGCGGCGGCCACGAGGACGGCAGTCAATCGCTTAGAAGTATGGACTGCACGGCCACAGCATGATCGACGGTTGTTGGACGCAAGCCAAGATGTAGTGTTTGAAAATTACAGACATTTTTTAGATACCAAAAATAATATACGAGCCTATTCGTTTATAGTATAGTACCTACAGGGGTGGCAAACCCAACGGCACTTGTGCCAAAAATGGCACATTAATTGTCAGATTTCAATGGCACGCGAGAAATTAAAACCGTGAAAAATAACGCAATTCATAAAATTTTGCYTCTAAAAAATTCAAGAAAACAATTTACATCATAGTTAATATCTTTTAAAAATTATAACATTCCTAGGTAAAATTTATTGGGGATGTTTTTATATTATCACTATACACAGGGTGTCCCATTGCGATATTTCACTTAATAATGGAGATATCAAAACCCTGGTTTTGTTATAAGACTCGAAGGGATAAGAACTACGATTATTTTATTTTTTAATTCATGTTAAACAATTTAAAAAATATATTTGAAATATAATATATAGGTATTAAATATATTCCCAAAAAAATTTAAGATACCCGTTTTGTAGAGTTTATTTTTATGAAAATATTGGCGTTTTKAAATTTTATTTTCATTAAATTCCTGATTTTTTGATATTTTTTCTAGTTTTGAAGAAATAAAATATGATTATAACTAACTATTATAACTATTATAGACACACTGAAAACGTTCGGCCAAGCGCTTGACGCGTCGTTTCACATGTTTGATAACACTACACGGTGTTAAATAATTTGCAATTTTTTTCGAAACTAAAAAAAAAATTAAAAACTAGAAACTAGAAATTGACGAAAATAAAATTTGAAACGTCTCTGTCATTGCACGATAGGCATGACTTATAATCATGATGTTACTAAAGATATCTGTAAGGAGCCCACATTTTCAAATGTGTAAAAAATGTGACAAGTGCTACAATTTAAGTTAGAGTCTAACTATTCTGGTAAGTATGCAGATTACGCGCGACTGTGTGAGAAAATTGCTTCTCATCGTCAATGCGTCGTATAAAAAACTGGCTAAGGCTGCAAGTATGGATCAACAGCATCTTACAGAATACAGATTTATCAATATTAAATATTGAAAAAGATGTTGTCAATAAAATTGTTACTTCATCAGAAATACTAGAAAAGTATTCTATTAGGGACAGAAAAAAAATATTATAGTATGAAATAATATATTTAAATGTAAACATATTTAATTATAAAATATATTATAGCTTATACGAATAACTCTTAAAAAATTAAAATTGTATTAATTCCTAATTATTTTGACAGATTATTTTTTTTTAAATAGTTTTTTTCATTTGTTTTTATTTAGTAATTATTTGTATCACCTTAATAATTTAATAATATAGGTACCTAATGTATTTGGGTAAATTGTTTTATGGTTCGTTTAAGAATGTTAATAGTATAGTTATAAAATTTGAATATGGTGTTTGGCGGTGTGGGGGCGTAACCCCCATGATCTGATGTCCTTTGCATAATTTTAGCACCCCCAGTGTTTAGCCTCTTGTTGCCAGGCGGTCCCAGTTAGGACTTTGCTTCAAGTGCAGCACATTTCATTTACTTGATACATTTTATACATTGTACATATACATACATATACTTACCTCTCTATACCACACACACATAGGTATTATGTATACAAACTTCATTTAATGTTACTACTTGGAATTTTCATTTTATTTATAATTATAAATGGTTTGTGTATAAAAAATTGTTAAAATTATATTGTCATACAACACCATTCGGCGTGCTCTGTCATTCAATATTTCAAACCATTCGATCGACTCGTCAACATTCACTTTCATTGTTTTATGTCTGTTTAAAAAATAACGTCTGCAGTGAATCCAATCTTGTTTGGGTCATTGTTGCAGATCGAAGTTAACATTTAACATCAGTAATTTTTGAGAAGCAGCGTCCACAACAGCAATACTTGTAAGTTGTATAACAGATATTGTCACGAATAAGCGTTCACCTTTAGAAAATCGAGAGAAAATATTTCAATTTTGTTGGAAACTTTTATTTTATTATTATTATTATTATTATTATTATTTTTATACAGCCAATCTAAACCATTATAAATTGTATTAACTGAAGTACCATTATTGGTACAGTTGGAATATTTTGTAGTAATTTAATTTCTCTGCACAAATCATCTTCAATGACAACCAATAAAAACAAAATTGAGAAACGTCAGGTGCAGCATATATGCTGCACTCGTAGAACCGCCTAATATGCACCCTGCAATTATTTGGAATTCAGTTTACCATTATCGGTCGTTGAGTCGTGACCAAAAATGGAATATACATAAGGTTAAAAATTTATGACATGAAATGTATTTTTCAAAGGTATACAATATACCTGATATATATATATATTATATATTGTATTTAAATTAAAACAAAAATATATAATATTGTCATACAATTACTGGTACTAGACGGCGATTAGGTGTACAATTAGGTAGRTATTAATAATAATGATTATATAATAATAAAATCAAAAATATAATAATTAACTAAAAAAACATAATAATATTATAATATAATAATGTACGTACGATTTTTTTTTCATGTACATAATAATAATAATAATAATAATATAATAATTGACTAAAAAGGGACTGGAGACGACTAAAATACAAAGGGATTGATTTTATACGGTCGACCGTAAAAAAACTATACGCACTATATATATACCAGATAAATAAGTAGACTTTAAAACATGCGAAACACATTTTTTAGGTTACAAAATAATTAAACATTTTTTTCACACAGACACACATTTAATTTATATAAAATTTAATTTTTTAAACACTACAACTATAACGTAAAAATAGTAATAATGTATAATTAATTAACAACACGGGTATATATATATTTATATATTATATTCAACGATTATTAAAATATATTATTGCACTACAAAAACACAGATAGCAGCATATTATTATCATTATATATCTATTATTTTGGTCTATTTATTCTTATATTATACTTAACCGTAATAAATATTATACATATCTATGATCGAACAAATTCCAAATAATAGTAGAATTCAATATTATAATAATATCTGTATAGGCATAGGTATTACCTGACCTGTCTAAAAAATGATTGTCTTTATAATGTGTGACAATGAATTTCAAAGTCAGAGCGTGAGAGAGACATCGAGCAACAATAAATGATATGTAATAACCAAGAACATAACATAATATGAGCTATGGGTAGTCATAATAGTAAAAAATCGATTTAAACGATATGTACAATATTACTATTGTTATCGATAGAAACATGTTTACCCGACGGTTGCAACCTATAACTACGGAAACTTGACTTATGTATTGTTCAACGGGTCACGATAATTACATAATATTATTAAAATATATTAAAGTATCTAAACAACTATACAAAAAAACATTATGCGACAAAAAGTCGCGTACTTCTTCGATCGGCCARCGAAATAATTAACACAGAAGCCATAACATTTTAGAAATAATCCGAATCGTATGTTGGTTTTTCGGCGATTAACGTCATATCATGGTTTTCGACAATCAGATATTTATTATTATTTTTTCAATATTCACTCTAAATATATGATAAATATAAAATAGTATAATTAATAATTATTAACAATAATTATTGGTTAAGGCAGTAAAACAATATCATTCCGAGTTTCACAGAGTATATAGGTGTATATAACACTCAAAATATTTAAAAATTCGACGACGGCATCATAGGCAGATATAATTTATTAATTTTATTTCGCGAACGAGATTAATCGATATATGGGCAAGGTAAAAATATTATTATTAAGGGATATCTCCGCGTAAACGTGCATACAATTCATACTTATTTTTTTACTTTGACCAATTTATTGCCACTTGCCACATAATATTAAATTATTCGTATTTATTTCGGCCATCTGAAAGACTAAAACCTATATATAATATATTATTATGTACATGACACACACACACTCATAGTATACATATATTATATATACACATTATTATTATTATTATTATATACGTATAATACAAATAACGAGAGAAGGCCTTATTTAATTGTATTTAATATTATGAGTAAATAATGCTGAGGACATGTTATTTTATCTAACGTAGAGTTTAACAATATTGTTTCGCTTTAAAATCACTGGCCGGGGCGAAGCCTATTGCCACGTTTCATAATACATTATATAATATTAAAACAATATATAATAAAAATAATAATTATGAAAACTATTTAAAAAATAAACAAAACCGTATACACATTTTTGGGATATTGTCGATGTACATTATTATAATTTTATATCATATTACAATATAAACCTATAATATTGTGCGGCCATGACGTTGCGGGGGAGGGAGGGCGAGGGGGGGGATAGTAATTAATATTTAATATAATAGTCAATAATGTATTTCAATAGACGCGCTTATTACGTATACGCAGAAAATACACGAAACTACCTACCGTAGAATGCAATCATCGTAATAAATAATGTTTTATTATAATATGACATTTTAAAACGGGTGGCCGTTATTCGCTGGCCGGGGAGAACGGCGTATATAGTCGTGTCGAAAATTTTTTCATCCGGAGGAGGACCAATAAKTATAAAATATACATTCGAGATAAATTTAATTAAACAATTGTATCAAAACATCTACTTTTTTTGAGATCTACTTGGAAATAAACAAAATTAAATTAAATTGCACAAAACATCATATAAAATGTCGAAGAAAAAAACATCGTACAATACTATATATATGTAGTTTTCATTATGTTTTGTCGAGCATAAAGAATACTAGAGATCGTACAACCGAATGTTCAAATTTTAAACAAAAATAGATTCGTAAACTAACATAATATAATATAGCTGGTACCTAAGCACATGATAACGTTGCCGACTTATAGCACCCGTTATCGTTATTATAAAAGTTAAAATTTGTGTATTTCTTTTTAAACGCACTCCAACCGCAGTGAATGAAACATCTGC